AGATGATATTAAAAAATAGGAGTATTTAATGGCACATTACCCGGGTTTCAACCATAAGTTTCCTTCAGGTGGTAGTGGCAAATTATGGCTGAAACCCGTGCAGTGTAAACTGGTAAGTACTCCAATTTGTTTATATATATATATATATATATATATATATATATATATATATATATATATATATATGTGTGTGTGTGTGTGTGTGTGTGTGTGTGAAAATATATAGAAAATAGGAAGGAACTGGTTAGGTAAATAATCCAAAGTCCCTTAGTATTTTAGTTATTATTTTTTAAAAATAGTGCTCGATACAAAAGTAGAGCATAAATATAATTATTTATTTAAAAATATGATTCCAAATTGCTACATAAGAGGTCTCATGTTTCAAAACAAGAGCCGAAAACTTCAATATAATCCTTTAAATTAAATTGAGTTGAAAGTAAAATGGGCTCCGTTCCATCTTCAAGCGAAATTTTTGTTGAAGTAACGTATATCTGAAATTTACTTGTTTTAAAATTGAAATCAAAATCCCCATGGTAACAGCTATGGTGAATTGTCTAAATTGGGTAGGCGAGTGTAGGGTGTTTATAATAAGTAGCGGTATAGAGATACTTTCAAGGTGTCAAGTCGGGGAAAGGTGGGGTGTCAAAAATGAAACGGAAGATGTATTGGCCATCGTCTAGTTTGTTTGTCTATGGAGATTTATTTATTTATTTTATTTTATTTTATTATGAAAGGGAATTGTGCATATAAAAAAAGAAAAACTTTCGTAACGTTTGTTTTTTGACGACTTCATAAAGGGTTATCTTATATGTAAGGTATTTAAACTACTTATTTGGGCTATGGATTATTGAAGTGTGTTATGTTGTATGCATGTTTGTAGTTAATTATTCCTACTATGAATCTGATGATTGGGCTATTTGTTAAACAAGTTATATAAATTTTTTTATCTAATATATATATATATATATATATATATATATATATATATATATATATATATATATATGAACAATCTCTTAATAATACAAAATGTTATTAAAACATAAAGCCTTGAATAGCACGATAACAACCCGTTGACAGTGATCAAATATAAAGGAAATTGTTTGGGTCAACAATTGATATCTAACGAAGGGTTGACCAAAAGGGTTTTAGATATTTGACTTTTTTAGTATTAAGATTCTTTCATCAGCCCTATTCAAAGCTTTAATAGTTATAATAAGAATAATAACATATATAATTAATATTTTATTCTTACCTTAATATTATTGTATATTATAATATTGTATATTATAATAAAATATTGTTATAAAATATTATTATAATGTTGTTAGAATTATATTCTATATTATAATAAACATATTGTATTAATAATTATATAGTAATATTTTATATTTAGGCCCTTTGGATTTTGGCGTTGAGCACTCGGTTTATTTTCTATTTTTCTATTTTATTTTGTATATTTTATGCTTACTAAATATATATGTATGTGTGTGTTTGTGCGTGTGTGTGTGTGCGTGCATGTGTGTTTGTGTATGTGTTTGTGTGAAGTGGTCGCTGAGCGTGACAGTCTGTTTTATGCATGCTTGATGGCGTGAAGATTGCGTTCGTGCATGAAACAGACTGTTGTCACATGTTGTATACATGCTCTATACCTGATATTGAGCAATTTTATCCATAAATATATTAAAATTAAAACTATATATTTTATCATATACATTTTATATATATATATATACAAAGAAATAATCACACATAGAATCAATCAGAAGTATTAATGCGATTATTGGCGACATCCATCGCTAGAAAACATAATATATGCATTAAAATCCTGTTCATCCATAGTGCGAGTTTGATCCTCGTCGATAAACTTGTTGTCTGTAGCTTTCAGTTTATTTGATGTTAAAATGCTAGTACTTACGAATAGTCTTCTATTCATCATCATAATAGAAGACTAGCAGTACTTAATATTTTTATTAAGTTGGTCCTAAGCTTTCGGCTCACATGACCCATCCTCAGAGTTGTTATACAGACATGAAACAAAGATATCCACCGGCAAAGATGATATTTTGTTACTTTGAGATAAAAAAAATTGCTATGCGACGATAACGGTCGCGGAATAGCAGACTCAGATCATAAGTTCAAGATGCGCTCCTCTGACGTCATACCACGCGATAGACAGAAGTATTACAACAGAACCAATGTCTAGATGCAATGTAATGTGTTGTGACTAGTTTGAAATGTAATTTTGTTGAGTGTGTGTTGCTTCGTTTTAATGTAGATGGCCTCCGATATTCTAAGGTTCTTTTTACTGTGTGTATGTGTGAGTATTATTATGTTATCAACTAATATCTGTCTAATATTATGCTGGATGGTCGTGACTCATGTGTAAAGACAAGCTCAAGGGTAACCACTCAGCAATCAATGCGTCTCATACTAACTTCGAGCGAGTTGTCCTGGAAAAAATAACCGGGGATATTTGTGTCAGTGTTGCATCAGAAATTTTCGAAATCAGTCATATTGACCGTCTAAGAGACGAAAGACAAGGGCGAAAAGCGTCAAAAAATATTCCTGTTGCTATGTGCCGAGATACCCGCTGTTGTACAATATGTGGACTACTATGCAGGTCACTGGCGGGACTGAAGTGTCACATACGACACAAACAAAACAATGAATGAGGTTGTCGGATCCTCATATGTCGAAATCGACGGAAGAGTCCATCATCATCATCATCATATATATGTATATTTAGCCTGCATATCTTCATTCAAACGTGTTTCATTGAATAATATAGACATATTGTGTCTACTTATTTTTGTACTGATCCTTTCCAGACGTTTAATCACTATTACAACGGAATGCAGATTTTATCTCAGGTACAATGAGTTTGTCATTATAATTTACCCCTGAAGATGATCTTAGAAAAGATCGAAAGTACTTGAGTTAAAAACAAAAAAAAAAATCTTCCTTGATGGATTTCATCTTAACATCAAGAACTGATTAGACAACAGGAATAGATGAATATAAAACATAAATAGACCCAATATGTCTATATCATTTAATGAAACATATATATATATATATATATATATATATATATATATATATATATATATATATATATATATATATATATATATATATATATATATATATATATATATCAGCGATCGTGTCTCGTCTCAAAATGCAGAAACAAAAATAATTTTTTACTGCACTACTTAAAACCGAAAACTGAAAACGAACAAGAATAAATGAAAATAAATAAAATAAATAAACAAAAACAAGTAAAATAAATGAATCCAAACAAATAAATAAGTAAATAAACTAAGTAAATAATAAACAAATTAACAAACCACGCCCACCAAAATACTTGTTTGAAGAATGCGATAGACTACCCACAATGCAATAGATGTCCACTTCCATCTGTCTTTTCTACAAATATTTTCAGGGCAACTGCTCTGACGAGCGTTTTTTTTCCCTGGTGCTCCGACTACATGAATTTAAGCTTGCTACTAGATTCCTGACGGAGTACACAGATTTTCAATGAAATTTCTCGAACATTCAGGCCGGTAAATGTTGTTAATACTGTTTATTAGAAACAGAGCATTTACTTAAGTATTAATACCGATAAAGAAAATATATTAAAAATAGTTGGACTTAGTCCATTTCATAATATATGATGTCATTTGTTTGCGTTAAGATACGCTTCGAGTACATATGAGCGTTCGAGAGAAATCATGGGAAATTTATAGTTTAAAAATAGTGATTTAACTTTGCTAACCAGACGCTTCCATTGTAGCTAAATGTTATATAGCACACCAGGCTATATGACGGTTCTTTGTAGGATACAGGTTCGATTACTGTCGGAGGACACATATTTTCTATGAAATTTCTCGAACATTCAGGCCGGTAAATGTTGGCAATACTGTTCATTATAAACAGAGCATTTGCTTAAATAGAAAATCTAGAAAACTATAAACAGAGCATTTGCTTAAATAGAAAATCTAGAAAAATAACGTACAAACAGAAAATATATTAAAATAATTGTTGGAATTATTGAATTATTGAATTTTATAATATATATGTGTGTGTGTGTGTGTGTGTGTGTGTGTGTGTGTGCGTGTGTGTGCGTGTACGTGTTTGAAGAAAAAAGGAAAACTCATCTTAGTCGACGATGGACTTTATCAAGGCAAATGTATGGATTTTAAAGTAAGTTAGTTTTTCAAAATTTTTAAATTTAAGAAATGCTCATAAATATTAAACAGGCTAGCTGAAAAATCTATATAAATAATGAACAACGGTAAGTAACCTAATTTAATGTCTAATAAACGAAAGTGAATAAAAATTGTTGAGATTTTTATGCAAATTAATATTTGAATTATTTTGTTTTGGGATTGATTCGTGTGTTATACATTTTAAATAAAAGGAGGTTATAAATTTAACCGTCTTCTTTTAAATTTTTTTTTAAACATTTCTATAGTCGTGTATGTTAGCTTCGGATAGAGTGAATTCTTTCAGGAATGGAGATATTTGATAAGCTCCAGGTCGACTAAAATAAGTTTTGCTTCTGTCTGTCCTCTTACAGATATATTTAATTATATCTGAAACTTTACATATATATACGTAATATAACGATATATAATTTTGTATAAATTTATATATCAACAAACAGTGTTTAGAAAAATATGACAAACTGGAAAGGTGTTTTTGTGACGCGTTTCATCCGTTAGGATTTCATCGAACTGAGAGCCATGTCTACACATGTGCACGAAAAAAAAATTGAAACTACCTGCGTCTCTCATTTCGTGCGCATGTGTAGACATGGCAACGTCAACAAAGCGTAGTCTGATGAAATCGTAACGCGTCACAAAAACACTTTTCCAGTTTGTCATATTTTTCTAAATATATGCGTGTGTTGTAATTATTTTGATGAACCACATATATTTATTATTTATTCTTATGATTGTGTGATGTTTAATTTTTATTTTCTTTCAACTCAGGCCTTCTCCAGAAAAACAACAGTCGAAGGGCTGAGGCCCCCTTGCCATTGTCTCCAGGTAGTTATTTTAATTGTATTTTAGTTCTTTTTGACTTGACAAACTAATTGCATTTCGATCGAATAATTTGCATGTTTCTTTCACTGTTCGTCAAGCATGTTTCCAGTCTATTTATATCAACTAACCATTCATAACCATTTGATATACGGACCCGGAGTAAGGGGACATATTTAAAAGCTCAACGCTTTGAGGCTCGACAATAACTATTTTATTTTCTTTAATGACAAAAACCTTCAAAGAAATTTCCGATTCCAACTAAATATAAATATATCAACAAATTTCTGTCTGAATTTCTGGGATGAGGAGTTATTATTTAAATTATTTGCATTCAGACTAATGTTGTTATTATCACCTAATCAAATAGACAAATTTCTGTGATGTGTCATTATTTATATTTAAATTAATAGAAAAGGGGCTTATCCGAAACTTTTTGGATAAATTAACTTTTAATTTTACTTATTACAAGACTAGATGTTTACATCTTTGGGAGGAATCAGTGGACAACCTTTCGTGTTTTGATGAAATCCGTTTTTCACGATACGTTGGAATTGTTCACGATCGTAGTTGTAAAAGACTGTCGATTCAGTTTCGCTACAAGTTCCAATGTTTAATATATAAGAAATTTGGTTGCTCTGCTAATTCTGATGTTGTTGGGAACGTCCTTAATTTGTCTTCTCATCAGTTGTCTCCTACTGAAAGTGCAATACTGGGTCATGGATTAGATTTCTCTATTCGACCGGCTCTTGTCAAGCATGAGGAAATTTTTTCTGAATTTGAAATTCTTAATGCCCAAACAGGGAGACTCAAACTTGTATGTTTGTTTTTTTGTTCCAACGAATCTTTCTGAAGAAGTATTGGACGAAAAAGGTTACTTCTTAAAGAAGGTTCTCCGTCATTTTAAAAACAATATATAAATCCTGTTCAATATATATATTTCATTTTTCGTTTCATCTGTTGAAAGTGATGTCTGAGGATCCCGGGTACTTTAAAAGGTCTTTGGTGAAATAAACTATTACAATGGAGTTTTAAAGTCGTCAGTTTTTCTTTAAATTATTAGCTCTGAATTTACATTGAACCCTCAGGATTTAATTCTCCTTGGGACTATCCATACGGATTACCAAGTTTTTCGTAACTTATATATATATATATATATATATATATATATATATAGGCGTGTGTAATCAATTCATCACAAGGAAGGCGATAACGCCACTAAGACACAAGGAGGCTACTGGAAGTGAAAAAGAAGCAAAAGATTTTCTAGAAAGAACCGGAAACCCAATAATAGTATAAATTTTAGAGTTTAGGTGGAGACGTTAGAAGTACAGAGTTGAAGTAGACTTTCGAAACAACCGAAAAACCCAGTCTTAAAATGGAATCAAGTAATAAATATATTAATCCTCGTCTCCCTCAAGCTATGGGTAAATAGCAGGACAGACTGGCTTCTATAGCCTTGGAAAGCAACTTGTCTAGGAGAAGGACAAATCTGAATTCAAAACCTGCGGGGGGGACCTTGTGGCACTGTATTCGGCCGTTCGAAAAGTGTTGTTGGTTCTGCACAAGCCTTCCCCACGATAATCAAATCATATGTGCTGTTGTCTGCGCTGCCGGTTCCTAGGAGCTGCTTGACCCTCATACGTCGGATACGACGGGAGAACCCACTATATATATATATATATATATATATATATATATATATATATATATATATATATATATATATATATATATATATATATAAAAATGGACAAGGTCCGAAATTTATTTATTTATTTTTTTATGTATATGACATTTTTTATGTATATGACAAGTATTTAAGCAAATGCTCTGTTTATGATAAACAGTATTAAATAACATTTACCGACCTGAATGTCCGAGAAATCTTCATAGAAAATATTTGCTTAAATAATTGTATCTATAAATAACAACGTTAAACATAAAAAATGTCTTTAATAAATATATATATATATATATATATATATATATATCTTGAATAAGCAAGCCGATAGATGTAATACATACTGTTTAAAGCAAAAATAAAAATGGGGCGTTTATTTCAATTACGAGTATTCACTATAATATTGTTTAAAACAATAAAAATGCCGGATTAAAAATAAATCCATTAATTCTTTAGAATATATATATATATATATATATATATATATATATATGCACACACACATATATATATAATCCTAAAGAGCCAGGAACTGCCTACCTTGGTTTAAACTAAATGTATCTTCAGTGTATATATATATATATATATATATATATATATATAGTTAATTTTTTACTGTTAACAACATATTGACTGAGATTTATTTCATGATGTTTAACTTTCCTATTGAGAATTCCGACACTGGGGTTTCTTCTCGGGTAAAAGCCGGTATCAATGCTTTTGTGCCTTCTCAGAAATACTAGGTGAAACAACAGTCCTCTCCTGTTCAGCTGCTATAGCCCACAGGAATCACTTTTCCGGCTATACCAACGTGATAATTTTGATAACAACAGACGACTCTTTGCATCTGATCGTTATAATTGTAAACGTTCACTGACAGAATAATAACATCAAGAAGTCACTTTCCTTACAAATTTGCCATAGTATGATTCGAACACGATTCTCATCGCCAGAAAACGAACGTTCTAACCACTCGGCCACGGGCTCGTTTTTTTCCCCAAGTTCTAGAGACTCCAATTAACCCTGAACTGGTGCCCTAAATCTTTGGCTTCGTACCAAACAAGCCAAAAAATAAATATTCATATTTCTAAAATTTGGTTTCATAAACAAATAATATTTTTAAGGTTTATTCGTAGTTTTGTCATCTGCTGCGAATTTGTTCAGCATATTCTTTCTTTTCATTATTATTGGTATCAAGACTCATACGAATATCTCTCTTGAATTTTTTATTCTCTACAAAATTCTCTTCAAAGTATCTTTTATCATTCCTTGTGCCTTCAGGATGAACGACCTTGAGTAAGGTTTTCCCAGCCATTTCCTATGATGTTGGCCTTCTTCAGTGTGTACTTGATACAACCTCTATATCTCAATTTTGGTTTGTGTGCTGGTCTCTTTCCTTCAGTTAACACACCATGAATAAATTGCTTAGATATAAACCTTGTTTGAGCATCACTTAAGAATATTAAGGTATAAAAAAATCATACCTACATTGCTCAGGGATACATACATACAATTGATAAGACAAAGAAGAAATAGGAAACTTTTATCAATTTAACATGTTTCTCTTTTATTAAAGCTTCATCAGAGAATGAGATATGGAGAAAAAGAAGAAAGAAATTTTGGCATATTTATTTTTGTGTTGTTTGATTTGCATTGGTTAATCAGGTTTCACGTGCTAAACTTTGATTATTATATATTTCCACTTACTACAAACGAATGATTAGCAGTTTTGTCAGTTAAGAGTTTATGTAATGTCATAAAATCTAAGCTTAATAAATATTTAATAGTATATATATATATATATATATATATATATATATACTAATAGTAATACTCGATTGGAAAAAAACCCGGAGAGCACAACTTGTAAGTCAATCAAAACAAATTGGTACCCGAGGGAAAAAAGAAAGAACTAGAAACATCCGAACAGAGGGAAATGAATCTTCCAGCGCCTTACGTTTTTAGTCCAAAGAAAAAAAAACAAGCGAGTAATAAAGCTAAAACGTAGAGTGTTCAATACGCTAAGTTGAGCTAGGATAAATGGAATAAATCCTAAAGAGCCAGAAACAACCAACCTAGGTTTCACCTAAAACGGATCTTCAGGTGTGTATATATATATATATATATATATATATATATATATATATATATATATATATATATATATATATATGTATAGGAATTTGTAGGTCTGATGAATTGGATCGTATTTACGATTTCAATGGAATAAATTATGACCATGGAATATTAGTGTTTAAGCCTTTTTATTATATCCTTACTCTGTCCTGGACATTGAGTTCTACCTGGATTCTATCCTCTTGGAATTTTTTTTTAATACAAAATATATAGGTAAGTGTATGCATGTATGTATATATATTTATATATTTTCCATATGTATGTTTATATTTACCACTAATATTATCTATCTATCTATCTATCTATCTATCTATCTATCTATCTATCTATCTATATATATATATATATATATATATGTGTGTGTGTGTGTGTATTTCCTAAGTAGGCATCTACACTGATGACATTACTATTTACTCCTGCCTAAATAGCAAATCTGGTATCGCTGACAAAACTAACCTGGCCATTGGTTTTGAAAAGTACCTCCATTCGGTTGTTCACTGAGGCAGGAAATGGTTGGTAAACTTTAAGGCCTCAAAAACAAAACTGCTCTCTTTTACCCACCACAGTTAACCCTCTCTGCCTCCCATTAGAATGTTTGATGCTCAATTCCACGAGAGCACCTGTCTGCGCCTGCTTGGTCTCACACTGTCTGCTGTCCCGAGATGGAACAAATACATTGAATCCATAGCTTCATCCACCGCAAGGAAAGTTGGTTCGCGCCAGAAAATTTTTCTCCCCTGAGTCCATCCTTCATATCTATAAATCAACCATTCACTTTTGCATGGAATACTGCTGGTTTTGGAGCCCACGCTGTTCGTCCCAAGGCCCTCGACAAAATCCAGAGACGGATATGCAATGTGATTGGTCCTGATCTGGCATCTCGTCTACAGTCACTTTCTCACAGACGTGCCGTCGCTTCTCCCTGTCTTTCACGGTAACTGCTCCGACAAAGTACTTTCGCTGGTTCCCAAATTGCATGAATTTAAGCGTGTTACTAGGTTGGCATCTCAGTGCCACTCTTTCACCGTCTCTTCCACTCCAATAGCTTCATGTCTCGCACTTCCCGCTTGTGGAACTCCCTTCCTCTTACTTGCTTCCCTGATAGCTATAATCTTCAATTATTCAAATGCAATGTCAAGCAACATATTCAGATGCCTTGATCTAATTCCCAGTCCTTCTCTTCACC